AAAATTGTCCAGCATGTGCCGGCATGCTGGGCAATTCAGTGTAGCTAAAACAAGCTAAGGTGGGCAGCAGCAGCCATGAAAATCCAGCCAGAAATAAATGTACTTTCACTTTCATGAGTACAGAAAAGCCCTAAAGGCAGAGAGGTACAGGACCATTCCTTTTGGATGGCACACGGGGGGGGGGGGTACATAATGAATAATTACAGTGTTTCCTTGGTATCTGTTTATTTACAAATATACACTTGGAGCACTGATAGAGGACAAGCCAAGCAAGAACTCAGACAGTGCTAGTCCTTAAAGCAGCCTCAGCTTCTCCCACAAAAACAACCTTAAGCTAACTGGAGGCCACCAAGCTGTTTTTTTCAAGTTAACTGCAAAAATTGCACTTTGGTCTTGCTAACCAAAGTGCAATTCTACAAACTGTTCCCAGGTCCACCTGAGCATGTGATGAATCTTGGCTCTTTCAAGAGTATCTTAGCCAAATAGAAATGACAGAGCTGCTAGATACAGATTTAAAATACGTAATTGTTTTGGCTCTCACAGCAAAAAAATCAGAGAGTTGTTCTTGTAGTCTCATGTTACCTGTCAGTGGTGGTTCTGAGCTTCCAGCAAAAGCAGAAAGTTTGGGTCCCATTCCTCAGCCACCCCCAACTTTAAGCACCTATGCAAACAGTCAGTGAACATTTGGCTATAATATGATGATCTGAGCAACCATCTGTTCTCCCTGGATGGTAGATCTGGAAGTTGCAACCAGATATAGCTGCCAAAATAGTGACTACACAAGAAGCCGAAATAAAAGCAGAAGGGCTTAGGTCTGTTCTGTAATAAATTATCTAGCCTGGTTTGGTGCATAGCAATTTTCCAGTGAAATGCCAGTAAGTGGCTGTATTTTTCTTCTGCGGAATTTAACATCCTGTTAAAGCCATTTCTCCCACAACCAGTTGTCTGCCATATATATCATTCAGAAAAAAATGAATAAAATAATGAAACATATTTTTAAGTTGAGTACTTTAGGCTTGAGGTACACCAAAACTGAGGCTTCACAAGTCAACAATCTAGTTTAATACTGCTAACTGCTAATACTAACTGCTAATACTATTTGTTTTTTATTCTTCGGCCAGGGCAACTTATTTTATATTGTTAACTTGTTTTATATTTTTATTGTATAATATTTTAATTGTTATACTTGCGAGCCGCCCCACGGCTTCGGTGAATGGGGCGGCATAGAAATTTTCTAAATAAATAAATAATACGTTTTATCAGAAAATATTGATCGCACATGATTTATCAAGCCAATGAAGAAAGCACTAAAAACACAGGATGGATGCAAGAAGGTTTAGCAATGTTAATGCCATTTAATGAAGTCACGAGAGGCTTTTGTGTCTGTTACAGAAACCCTTCATGTTCATCATTCAGATCTACCTTGTCAGAGTAACAAGGAACTGCTAAACCTGTGGCATCGAACGAAGCTATTTGGCACTCTTGTCTGGAGCAAGTACAGCCTAGAGACCTACCTATGGCATGCAGTAGTTGACCATCTTTGCAGACCTGGGATCCCCCTTTAATCCTACCTTGCTATCAAAGGATCCACTTTGGCAAGTTACACATAGTCTTGCCTGCTTCCCAGCTGGACAGATTAGAGAAAACAGGTTACAAAGACATTGTATACGCTCAAGGAATGCAGAGTGCAACAGAGGGCACTATTAACTACTAAGCAGCAAGTAAGATTGGCCATCATACAATCCATAGGTGGGTTACTCCACAATGTTTTAAGATGAGCTATGAAAAAATTAAGCTGAAGGCATAATGGAAATAAATCTAAAATACAACTTGCAAAAGAACAGATTATCCCAACAGTGAGCAATTGCAATTGATTTGGAGGCCAATTCTTGCCCTGCTCCTGTAACCACGAGCTACAGGTTGCATTGCACAGGGCACCACACGGCCGACAAGATGGCCTTAAGTTTGTTTGTTTTTTTAAATCAATGTTTGCAAAGGTACTCTATTGCACTCTGTTCCTCTAAAATTGTCAGATTTAGCTTGTGTACAGACTTTTTAGAACAGAGCACTAAAAGCACCATTGGGTGTGTGGGGTGGGGGATAAAACTGCTTCACTGCAGCTGACTTTGGCAGCAAGAGTATCCACAATTAGCCCTCAGGCTGTGTGTTGCCCACCCCTGGTCCAGCCTGACACTAGATAGCTTCTGCCGGGTCATGTATACAGGAATCAAGTGTATGTGTCTGTACATTACAGAGTTGTTTAAAAAATGCATAGTAGGAAAAACTGTTTTTATAACATTCACATGCACACACGCCTGATTACCCATAGTGATACAGCCATTGAAGCTGCGGAGCTTGTTCATACTAAAATGAGAGAAATTGATGCCATCAAAAGACAAGTTTTAAATTCAGCAGAAAGTATATTCAGAAGCAACATGAGATAATTACTGTCCTGATATAACTAATAGAGATACTATCAGCAGGGCCTTCAAGTGTGTGGCCCAAAGACAGAGAGTTTCTCATTTGTTTGTTTGTTTACTTAGTCTACTGTTACTTTGAGAAGGTCCTACAAGTTCCAGAAAGCACCACTGCCATAAACAGCATAATATTATTATGTAAGAAAAATATTGCCAGTGAAACTCTGACCTGACAAAGTCACCACAATGGAATGCTGGCGCAAAAAATAGACAATAGATGTTTTTCAGTTGTAACTTGGTAGATCATTAGTTTCTCCTGGCTTAAAATAAGCACAGCCTTAAGTAATCTTAAATCACCAAATTGGCACCTATGGCATTCTGCTTTTATAGACTCTGTTTACAGTGCCCTGCAGAAGTATCCATCTCCCTTTGACTTTCCCTCATTTTGTTGTGTCACAAACCAGGCTGAAACCAGTATAATTTGCCTTGTTACCACTTGATGTTTAGAAGATGTGAGGCTACAAAATAATTTTATTGCATACATCAAAAGGCAACCAAGCAAAATGAATTTATTTCAATTGCAGGTTTAACACAACAAAATCTGGAAAAGTCGAAGGGTCTGCATGAATACCTCTTTAAGGCTGCAATCTTCTGCACACTTTCCTGGGAGTAAGGCCCACTGACTACAGTGGGACTTACTTCTGAGTAAATTTTCATGCATGTCTGTAACCAATTAAATATTATTTCCTAAGAAAAAGCCCTTGGGGGTAGTGATCAACCCTTATTTTTATTTGTTTTTATCAGCAAACTAGAAAGCACAAAATGAAGGTAATCAAACTATATAGAATTTAATGTACAGATTTTCATAGAACTGAATGAGCTATGAAGTAGCTAGCACTGTAGGCACAGAACAAATATTTTCAAATTCTGGATATACTGACAAATGAACGAATGAACATGGTTTCTGTGTTACACAAACTGTAGTAGAATATGGTACGGCCTCTTGTTTCATCAACGACACAGATGAATATGATTATATAAACCTGGTTGTGAAAGTTATGTTGAGAAACATAAATGCTTCATTAAAATATTGGTATTTTTTTAAAAATAATAATAATAAACCAAAAAAAGTGGCCATGCTGGATGATCAGAAGTTTAAAACAAAGAAACAAAATCCATGGTTAGGCAAAATTATATTAGATCTTTGGTTGGTCCAACGATATACAAAGGTATTCAACTATACATTTGATACTTTAAGAAATGTATGATAATTAATTTGCTGGAAACCTAATACTGCAACATTTGACGTAGGGTTTAGAATCTCAAGACGCTTTTTTTTAAGTGTTCTAGAGTCCCAGAAACTACCAAAATAAAGTATCTGAAATAAAATAGAGACCACAAGAGGCAAAGCATGATTGTGTTCATTGCTGTTGCACTTGTTGGGGATGTGGGGGAAAGAGCAAGAGATTTACTCAGAAATCAATCTCACCATGTTTAATGGGGGGCTACTCTCTAGTAATTATGTAGGTTTGTAGCATAACAGCATGGATAATTATAGCCATTCCCACAGTCTCCATGCCAATGTGCCATCATCAATTTGCAATTAATTGGTAAAAGTGTGGGTGTATGGAGGGTAAGTTTTAAGCATGCATAATTTGGGACATTGCACATTTATCTCCTAAAAACAAGCAAGAAGTTACTTAGCTTGCTTTTCTATTAAATTTAAATTATAGTAATTATTCTAATTATGCACATGTATTTGCATATGCAAATCTGTGCTTTTTTTGTCTTATGAGCCTGGGTCCCAGAACACTGAGGTACCTCGCACCATCACTACTGCCCACCATTGGAATGAGGTCCTCAGAGCTTCTCCGAAACAGAATTCAGCCCTCTGGAGTAGAATCCTGCACTCTTGCTATATATACTTTTGATCAATCAAATGGCACACATTTAATCACACGGAGCAATCTTCCTGTTGAAGCCCACCTGGCACCAACTTTCAGGATCTGGTTAAGGATATTTAATGCTTTGAGTGGGGTACCTAGGCCAAGTGTTTTTACAGATCTGATCTATGATTACAAAATGCTTTTAAAATATAAACTGTTTATAGATTTTCTATTTATTTATTTAAAACATTTCTATGCCGCCCCATTCGCCGAAGCCTCGGGGCGGCTCACAACATAAAATTAAAATATAATACATTCAGAATATAAAACAAATTAACAATATAAAATAAGTCGCCCTGGCCAGATAAAATAAGCAAATAATATTAACAATTAAAATGACGTTTAAATAAAAAGGTCTTTGCCTGGCGCCGAAAAACAAATAACAACGGCTCCAGGCAGACCTCTCTGGGGAGCGCATTCCATAGATTTTGAATATTTTTTTATTTTATGTTCTATGGTATGATAAAAGATGTTTTATGGTCCTTTTTCATGAACTACGGCACACTGCCTGGACAGCATCAGCTACTGGGCAGCACAGAAATGAAAGCATCAGTATCAAGCATTTTGAAAGATGAATTTAGATCAGTGCTTTCAAAAGACAAAAAAGAACTATGAATCAGAAATAGTAAGTTCTCACCTTCTAAGTCTTCCTTTTCAAAATGTGTTTTCAGAATGGAGCGTGTTCCACCCCTGTCCACCACTGCCTCTTCATCATTTCTCTGCAAAACAGAAGCCGTTGCAAAGATCAGATTTTTAATTTGTGCTGTCATCATCAGAGCTCATGAATGGGTGGGGGAGACATGCATTTTACTGGGGCCCAGAGATCTGCTGGGCCTGACTCAGTTTACAACCTCATTTTCAAGAGAGGAAAACCTCAAGACTAAACTGTAAATCCTGTTTGACAATTCTGATAAAGTTTATTTCATCAAGCAATGCATTGCCTATTGCCAGATTTAATGGAGTCAATCAGAAGCACAGGTTACGTAAAACAAACAATGCTGCAAACAGTAAACTGCCTGCCCAAACTCTTCTACAGGACAGAAAGTCCACTCGTGCAATTTAAATCAGGACTTGCTATTTGTGGACAAGATTAATGCTTTCTTATACTTCCAGCCCCAGTGCCCTTGCAAATAGAGTTGTAGAAGAAATAGGTAACAGGACAACAAAAATGGCAAAATCTATTCTGAGCTGCATTAATGGAAACATCACTTCCAAAACACGTGATGTACTAGTTGCCCTGTACTCAGTACTAGTCAGACCTTACCTGGAGGACTGTGTCCAGTTCTGGGTGCCTAAGTTTTAAAAAGATGCAGAAACACTAGAAAGGGTACAGAGAAGGGCAACAAGGAAGATTCAGGGACTGGAGGCAAAGCCCTATAGGAAAGATTGAGATAACCAGGGATGTTCAGCCTCAAGAAGAGAAGACTGAGGGGAGATACTGTAGCACTAAACAAGTGCCTGAAAGGCTGTCACAAAGAGGAAGGACAAGATCTTTTCTCAATCAGTCCAGAGTTATTCATACTGAATGTCTGTAAATATCTTTATGGCACCTTTTGGCTGAGAAGTGGGACAGAAGTACTTCAATTCTATCAGTCAGTCAGTCAAGACTATATCAATAAGGATTGTCCTAGGATTTCCCCTTTGAATATCTCTCACATTTCACTCCCTACCTGCCTTTTGCATGAACTTGCTTTGTAAATCCACTTCCTGAGCCTCAGGTATTACAGGAGAAGCAGGGCGGCCAACAACCTTTGTCTGCATGGGAGCACCAAGTGTGATAGCTAGCTATCAGCAACATTAGCTTTTCCTGTACCATGCAAGAAGCAGACAAGAGCAAGCATGAGAAAGTGCTGACTATAATGGTGGTACATCACTTGTTTTTACTTGCGGACAGTGGGAGGTACAGGGCAGGGGCAGTAGCACATTCCCTTGTAGCATATACTTAGGCATTCAGTCATTGATAACTGCAGAGCTGCAAAATGAAGGTTTTTTTATTTAATAAACTAAGGTGGAGTCAGGCAACTTTAGATCTGTGGCTGTGGGGAGGTCTATTAATAAAATTAATATGATGCCCTTTGGATGTTTTGGACTGCAATCAAATAATCCCCAACAACTGGCCATGAGTTTACAGGATTGTGGTCCAAAATACTTTGGAATACCCTCACATACATTCCCCTGAACTAAGGAATGCTCTCTGCCCTCCCATATGACTGACTTCCCTGGATATCTCTATGGCAGTGCATTTGCTGTACTTAACCTTCTGCATTCCCAGCTAAGACCGTAAGGGGGGCTCTATTAATCCCCGCAGAAACTTGTCTCCTGCAGACAGCTGTGTGCACAGAAGATAGGTTGCAGCCGATCAGGCAGTTATCCCAATCCCAAACTTCTGTGCACAAATCTACTATAAAATTCTTCTTGAGAAATGCAGTTTGATTCTGAAGAAGCCATGGAAGAAAATACTTCACAGTGCCAAGCTATCTATTTTTATTATAGATCCCAAATGCTGCTGGGTTTGATCACTGCGGTTCTACTAGGACTATTCCACCTTTGCTAAAGCAGCTCTTCAGCCTTCCAATCCACTTGCTGTATTTTAGATGCTATCACAGAAAAAATCCACATGGCATCTATTTTACTGGGTTTTTTACACTTCCAGGATAGTCTGAATACTGCATTGCCAAAAACTAATCAAATGCATCTGGCTGCATATCAGGTTTTAAAATATTTATTCCCTACTTCTGTTAACAGTCACCTTGACATTTATAATAACTGTGTATACTAAAACCAGAGGGGCATGCTCTTTGAACTTAAAGAGCAAAGGACACACCTGGAAGCACTTTGTTTTCAAGGGGATAAGGACAGTCTCTATCGCTGAGACAAAGAAATCTGGGAGGACTGCCATTCCCACTTCCAGCCTTCAAAAGGTCCTAGTTGAATTGAGTGGATTTACTGCATCTATATACAGCTATACATTTGATGCCAGTTACCCTCTGATTATCATCCATTTGAATGTGCTATTCCATTAAAAACATGTCAGCTGAGGAAAGCACTCTGCCTTTTATCTGTGGGAAATAAACCTTCCTTCTTCAAAGAAAAGTTGATGATTTTTAAAGGCAATTAAACCCAGATTCTCCAAAGCATTATTTTAAAATCCTCCTCCTCTTATTAGAATAAGACCGTAACAGCTTTCTGCATTAAGGTTAATGGGTTGGTGTGCTCCTTTTGGCCAGCCCTGTACCACAAAGTACACGCTGTGCAACAAAGTAGAAAGCAATTAGTTTTCATTCCAGATTTATATCTTCCCCAGGGCTGCATGTCATATGCATGAGACAGTTCTGCACTGTCCCTCCCTCTCTCTCCCCCATGACAGCAGAAGTAAAGAGGATACACAAACACCCTCTTCTGCAATGCTGCTAACATTTTTATTAATTATCTCTAGCTTTGGGAGAGTGATATGTCAATGGATGCTAATTGTTCATATGCCTAATATCAGAAGTGTACAAATTGTTTGCTACATGAAAATAAATGGCAAATTGTGCTATTAAATTTCAAGTAGCAAACAGGAGTTATCAACTTGATAGCACTAAATGTGCTTAAGAAAGAAAAAAAGTTAAATCAGCACAAAGCAGTCAGTATAAATGCTATAAATGGACACAGGCTGAAGAGATTCTAATTCTGGGTTAAGCTACACTATTAAATGAACAGGAGTTCCATTCTAATGAATATAACTTAGGCACAGCCTGAACTGAAGCATGTTAAATGTATAATCAATTAAATTGGATTGATTCTGTGTGAGTCTAGGATATCTTTGCATTCAGCTGACACTTGTTTTCTTTTCTAAAGAGTCTGAGTTATTTTTGAAACCATCCATGCATTCAGTTAGGTAAACAGAAGTACAATTTTAATATTCCATTTTTAAACATTTCTGGGCTTGAAAAACAAACAAATTATGATTTATCAAAACAACAGAATGGAGGGTGGTAGTTTTTAAAAATCTAAGGCAGATCAGAGTATCTAATCATATTGTATGATTGAAAAAGTATATTGATCATTATACAATTAAGTTAGCAGATTGCAATTTTATTACTTTTTTTGTCTTTATCTTTTCCAATTACTCAGATATTTTGGAAGTAAATATTTTCAGATGCAATGGTCTGGCTGTGATACGCTGCTTGTAATGCTAGAATGAAACCCAGCACTAACTAAATTGGATACTAATTGCTAAACACACACAAAGTGTCTTGCTATCATTACAGTGGGGGTGGGGGTGGGGGTGGGGGTGCCAGGGGAGAAAATGTCTAAAACTCAAATTCTGTTTTTTGATCTTATTATTATGTGCTACCAAACTCAAACTTCACAACCAAATTCATAAGGAAATGTCAGTCAAAATTCTGGGGACAGCATTTGGTTCCTTCTAGTTTTTCCAATGTTTCATATGGATATTCATCTCTGCAATGTAGAATTGATATATTGCTTATATTAATTTCAGAACTAGCTACGAAATACTTCACTATTCAGAAAACAAATATAACATCACCTTCTTGGTTACTTAAGCCCTTGTGCTTGCCTAAGACACATACTGAGATATCTGAACTAGCAGAAATTCAATCAGAACTTGGGTACAATCCTTTAAAAGTCTCAGCTCAGATGGCTAAGCTATCTTTTCCTAAAGTTCATCCTAATCAAGCTTGTTTCCATGGTTACTGAGCTGTGCTATCTATCAGCCCTCAGGCTTCAAGGTATTCAAGTCTCAGCTGATAAATCAGATGACCCCATACAGACACACCAAGATCCTAAATGAGGAGAGAACATGGTAGGAGAGGATTCATTATAAACAAAACAGCAAAACAAAGCAAAAATAAAAACAGGCTCTCAGTGCCCTTGAAGGAAAATGCCCTGTGTTCTGGAGTGAAGCCCCAGCAATGAATGCCAGCACCTGGCCTCTAAACCGGGGACTCCCTGGCTACGACTCTCCCTGCTCTTGCACTTTGCTATGCAGCATTTTAGAGTGCCTGAATGAAGGAAAACTTAAACATTCTTCTACTACGGCCTGGGAGGGAGGGTTAAAATTTTCACCCTCTCACAGACCCCTTTTGTCTCAACCCGCACATACATTGGGGAAGAGGATATATATATAAAAAAAGTCTCCACTGACTCCAAAGGAGAACCCAAATTTGTTTAACTCTTCTCCCACCCAAGATGAAAATGGAAGGGTGGAAGTATAACCACCCATTCCTTGAGTGGCACCATCGCAGTCTGAATCAGGCCCCTTACACTGCAGCAAACAAACCTATGATCCATTGTCGGGATAGGTCTGGTTAGAAGGATGCTTAGTTTAGCCTTAAAGCTTAAGACTTTACTCCTAATCAGATGTCCAGAAATTCAAAGCACGAGAGCAACATTGCTGTTACTCTACCCAGAAGTAAGTGCTATTGTGTTTCTTTAAGCTTGTATAATACAACTGAGAGCTAATATTTTTTCCGGTGATCTATGTAAACAAGGAATAAGCAACTTGGGGGTGGGCATGGGCAGTGGTTGAAGGACATAATGACTTGGAGGAAAGCAGCCAGGTGGCATATGCTTGGTTGGAGCCAGGTGGCATATGCTTGGTTGGAGTGATTGGAGGCAAAACAGAAGTGGTCGGAATCAGGAAAAAACTGAGCACTTGACTCATTCATCATCCAGTCATTCACCTTTCCTTCCTTCCTTCCCTCCC